AAACCAACATTTGTAAAGCACCCACCACATTATAAGCACTAAGCCACACCACATAATAAGCACTAAACCACACATTTTAAAAGAGTGTTCTTTTCAGTCCTACCTGGAAGATAGGGTTTTGTTTGTTGTTTCTTTATTAGGAAACACGGTTTCCCTATGTTGCTCAGATTGACCTAGAATTCCTGGGCTCGAGCAAACTTCCTGCCTCAGCCAGGACCACCAGTGCAGAGCAAGCCACTAGGTCCCACAAGGATTGGTATTATTATCCTTAGTTTACAGATGAGTAAGGTTAGGTGACAGATGAAATTTGAACCCCTGTTCTCAAAATACAAAGTTTGCATCCACATAATTAATAGCAGAATTAGTAACTGGGACCTTGAACTTCCAGGTCAGTTCTACTCGTACTGTACCATACTGAGTAAGTGAGTTAACACTTGGCTGAACTGTGTGATCCCAAATTTAACATCCACCTAGAATTCCAAAATACAACCTTATTTGATGATAGGGTCTTGCAGATCTAATCAAGTTAAAAATGAGGTCATATTGGATTAGGCTGGGCCCTAATCCAATGACTGGCGTCCTGATAAGAAGAGGGAAATTTAAACACAGACATACAAAGAGGAAAATGTCACCTGATAACACAGTGACCCAGAAGAAAGGACATCCTATAAAGATGAAGTGGAGTTGGAATGATGAGCCAAGAAATGCTAAGGATTGCTGGAGTCCACCAGAAGATAGGAAGAGAAAAGGAAGTATTCCCCTGTAGAGAAGCAAGAGGGAGCATTCCCTGATGACCCCTTCATCCCAGAATTCTAGGCCAGAAAAATGAGGCAAAAAATGTTTGTTTCAAGCCAGCAAGTTGGCAGTACTTTTTAATAGCAGCCTGTAAACTACCAGAGAACTAGAGAAAGAAAGACGAGATAGAGCAGGAAGGGTGGAGATGAAAGGAAGGTTATAGGGAGGTCAGTGGCAAAGTACCGAAGACCAAAACTCTAGAAGAGACAACTGGAGCAAAGGAAAAAGGTGATGTCACTAAAACCCCCCAAAACCAAAAATAGTTTCTTTGATTCCATGATGTTACCTCCCCTGATCTCCAACCTCATCACTCTCACCACTATTCCCCTTTTGCTTTTAAGGGACTCATAAGGTTGTTGTTCAGCTGTACCCAAGTGAAAAGAGAAAAATGACAAAGCTAATATAGCACTGACATGAGCTTCTCATAGGAGTGAAACCCACACCACTGTGAATGTCAGCGAGGAACAATGAGTCACAGCCTCAAGTAGCGAAACTGGTTTCAGTAAGTCAAGAATGGGTATGGTGATCTCTAATCCCTGAAACAGTAAGAGGGGGAAATGGGATAATGGAAATCTAAAATCAAAAGCTAAGAAGAAAAGAAACAGCATAGAACCAAAGGGGAAACAGAAAGCAGAGACTAAGATTTAAACACAAATATATCAGGAATTGCGTCAATGCAAATGAACCAAATGATTCAATTAAAAGAAAAATGAGTACCTTGTTAAAGAAAACAAAACATACTATAAAACATTACTGAGAGAAATTTAAATGACCTAGTAAACAGAGAGATTGTGTGTTTGTGAACTGGAAAACTCAATAAAGGTATCAATCCTCCCTCAATTGATGTAATAAATGTGATGAAATCCCAATAGTTTCATATGTGTATAAAAATTAACAAGATAATTCTAAAATATATACCTGAAAATATGAAGGGCCAAGCATATCCAAGATAGCCTTGAAGAAGGAAGAGTTTCTGTGATTTGCTATACCAGAAATCAAGAATTATAAAACCATAGTAACTAAGATAATTTAGACAATGCGATATGGGCACACATAGAATAATAAAATGAAATAGCAAGTCCAAAAACAGCCCATATGTATATGTACATTTGATTTCTGGCCAAAATTCCTTACAATTAACAAAGAACATGATTTACATATCATGTTGGCAAAATTGATATCCACATGGAAAAAAACAGTGTAACTCCTGTCTCACACCATACAGAAAAATTAACTCCTGATGAAGTGTGGATCCAAATGTGAATAAAAATAGAATAGTTTTTAAAATATTATATGAGGTAATGTTATTCTTCCCTAATGCCTGCCCCTCGCCTTATTGTGAATTAGCATCTTAAGGAATTAGCATATTAGAGAAAACATTTGGCCTTTGGTTTTGTGGGATTGGCTTATTTTGCTTAGCATGATATTCTCCAACTCCATCCATTTACTGGCAGATGCCATAATTTCACTCTCCTTTAAAACTGAGTAATATTCCATTGAATATATATACCACATTTTCTTTATCCTTTCATCTATTGAGGGATACCTATGTTGGTTCCATAGTCTAGCTATTGTAATTGAGCTGCAATAAACATTGATGTAGCTGCTGTAGAGTATGCTGATTTTAAGTCCTTTGGGTATAACAAGGAGTGGGATAGCTGGGTCAAATGGTGGTCCCATTCCCAGTTTTTTCTGAGGAATCTCCATATTGCTTTCCATAGTGGTTTCACCAATTTGTAGTCCTACCAGCAATGTATGAGTGTACCTTTTGCACCACATCCTTGCCAACATTTATTGTTGCCTGTGTTCTTGTTGATTGCCATTCTGACAGGAGATGAAAGCTTAGAGTAGTTTTGATTTGCATTTCTCTAATTGCTAGAGATGTTGAACATTTTTTCATATATTTGTTAATCAATTGTATTTCTTTTTCTGTGGAGAGTCTGTTCAATTCCTTAGCCCATTTATTGATTGGGTTATTTGGGAGGGGCATTAAGTTTTTTGAGTTCTTAATATATCCTAGAGATTAATGCTTTATCTGAGGTGCACGTGGTAAAGATTTTCTCCCATTCTGTAGGCTTTCTCCTCACATTATTAAGTGTTTCCTTTGCTTAGAAGAAGCTTTTTAATTTAAACCCATGGGACTACATGACCAATATGATTTTGCAACATGTACACTCAGAAAAATGAGAAATTATATCCCATGTATGTATGATATATCTAAGTGAATAAAGGCATTCTACTATCATGTATAACTAAAACAAATTTTAAATTTTTCAAAAAAAGAACATATAAAACTTCATTGAGAAATATGAGAGATTCTGAATAAGGGAGAGAAATATCACCTTCTTAAACAGAAGAATATTGAAAACATTGCAATTTTCCCCAAGTTTGCCTCAAATCCCAGATTACACATGCTATTATTTTTTAAGTGTTATTTTAGGTTGTTAGCATTTTTCTTATGTCAAAAACATGATTTTTTAAAATGAGAACATAATTTTCTATTGGATGGATACTCTATAATTTCACCATTTACTTAAAAATTTTCTTCATTTTATACAGAATTAGGAACATGCTTGTGAATAAAATATACACTTTTTATAAAAAGGATTATAGAGAATATATTTATAATCTTTGGAAATGAGAAACATTTATTAAATAGGACACAAAAAAACATAACTAAAAGTAATAATAAAATTAACAACATCAAAATAAAAAAACTTCTGTCCTATGACAGAGATTAAAAGAATGAAAAGGCAGGCCACAGAATGGAATATATGCAACCCATGACCAACCAAGGGATCACATTTAGACATATAAAAACTCTAAGATCAAAGTTACCATCATCAGAAACAGGTAAATAAATATTTGATTCTTGATCTGAAGGACTAAAAAGTTTCAAAAATCACTTCTGTGGTATTCCTGGCAGATATATTATATGAACCAAATCATGAAGAAACAAAATTGAGCAAACCTAATTGAGAGTAATACTACAAAACAAATGGCCTATGTGTGTGTGGCAGGTGGGGGCAGGGGGGATCTGAATTAAAACCCAAAACCAAAACCAAAACTAACAACGTTTTTCTTTTGATATAAATGACATTAGTAAGACAATTAGAAAAATTTAAATAGGTTTGTCTTTAAAAAGATACTGTATTATTGATCATATAAGTAATTATAAATAGCAAGGATGGTGAAAGGAGACGGTCATCATCATACAAAATACATGTGTGACAATGTGAATTTGGTGTCAACATACCTTATATACAAACAGAGTTATGATGAATTGTGGTATAAAGATGTATTGAGAATTGTGATGGGCTGGGATTGTGGCTCAGTGTTAGAGTGTTCACCTATCATGACTAAGGTACTGGGTTCAATCCTTAGCACCACATAAAATGTAAAATAAAGATATTGTGTCCACCTAAAAAACTAAAAAATAAATATTAAAAAAAGAATTGCGATGCAAAAAAAAATAATAATAAGAGCTCATATATAATGGCATAATTTGGTGTGAACATACTCTATATACAGAGTTATGAAAAATTGTGCTGTGAATGGATAATTATGAATTTAATGCACTCCACTATTGTCATGTATATAAGAAATAAATTTTTAAAAAATAAGTGATTGTATATGAAATCCATTGATTTGTTGTTGCACATGCTACACAAGTGCTGTACCACTAAGATACATCCCCAGCTACCACTAATTTCAACAGTTGCACAATATTTATATAAGAAAAAAGCTTTTTTTTTTTTTTAGAAATATATACTGAAGTAAAAATGATAGAGAGAGACATTATGTCTGTAAGGTACTCTCAACTGGTTCCAAAGTGTATGTGTCTGAGTATGTGTATCTATGCACATATCCATCTTGGCCAATTATAATATGTGCAAAGTCATCCTGGAAACAGGATAGAAACTAAATAAGTTTCAACCTCAGGGAACATATTGGCCCCTTTTAAAGTACACAATTCTCATGAACCCCAAAATATATGCTCAGAGATTACAGTTTCAGGAACACTAATTTTAAAAACTAAAGTCTTTACAATTAGTAAAATAATTTTCTTTTTGTAATCAAAACAAAATTTCTTTTCACTAGAATGTATACATAAATTTCATTGAAAAGACATTAAGTGCCCCCTCCCCCAAACTAAGGATTGGGTAATACCACAAAGCCTCAGGAAAAGAGGAAGAGCAATCTTCGCCCCCTATGATGGGTGAACTAGCACAGAGGTTTATCTCAAGATGCCGTTAGTGAAAAGAAACATCGATCCTAGGCACTTGTGCCACACAGCACTGCCTAAAGGCACTAAGAATGAACTGGAATGTGTAACCAATATTTCTTTGGCAAATATAATTAGACAGCTAAGTAGCCTAAGTAAATATGCTGAAGATATATTTGGAGAATCATTCAATGAAGCACATAGTTTTTCCTTCAGAGTTAACTCACTGCAAGAAGAAGAAGAATTGTCTTTGCAGGACATAACAATGAGAAAAGCCTTCCGAAGTTCTACAATTCAAGATCAGCAGCTTTTCGACTGCAAGACTTTGCCTATTCCATTTCAAGAGACATAAGATGTTTGTGAACAACCTCCACCTCTCAACATACTTACTCCTTATAGAGATGATGGTAAAGAAGGTTTGAAGTTTTCATACCAATCCTTCATATTTCTTTGATCTGTGGAAAGAAAAAATGTTGCAAGATACAGAGGACAAGAGGAAGGAAAAGAGGAAACAGAAGCAGAAAAATCTAGATCGTCCTCATGAACCAGAAAAAGTGCCAAGAGCACCTCATGACAGGAGGAGAGAATGGCAGAAGCTGGCCCAAGGTCCAGAGCTGGCTGAAGATGATGCTAATCTCTTATATAAGCATACTGAAGTTACTAATGGCCCGGCCTCTCGTTTTGAAACAAGACCTCAGACTTACGTGGATCATATGGATGGATCTTATTCACTTTCTGCCTTGCCATTTAGTCAGATAAGTGAGCTTCTGACTAGAGCTGAGGAAAGGGTCTTAGTCAGACCACATGAACCACCTCCGCCTCCACCCATGCATGGAACAGGAGATGCAAAACCCATACCCACCTGTATCAGTTCTGCTACAGGTTTGATAGAAAATCACCCTCAGTCACCAGCCACAGGCAGAACACCTGTGTTTGTGAGCCCCACTCCCCCACCTCCTCCACCTCCTCTTCCATCTGTCTTGTCAACTTCTTCATTAAGAGCTTCAATGACTTCCACTCCTCCCCCAGTACCTCTCCCACTTCCACCTCCAACCACTGCTTTGCAAGCTCCAGTTGTACCACCACCTCCAGCTCCTCTTCAGATTGCGCCTGGAATTCTTCACCCAGCTCCTCCTCCATTTGCACCTCCTCTAGTACAACCCTCTCCACCAGTAGCTAGAGCTGCCCTAGTATGTGAAACTGTACCAGTTCATCCACTCCCACAAGGTGAAGTCCAGGGGCTGCCTCCACCCCCACCACCGCCTCCTCTGCCTCCACCTGGCATTCGACCATCATCAGCTGTCACAGTTGCAGCTCTTGCTCATCCTCCCTCTGGGCTACATCCAACACCATCTACTGCCCCAGGTCCCCATGTTCCATTAATGCCTCCATCTCCTCCATCACAACTTATACCTGCTTCTGAACCAAAGTGTCATCCATCAACCCTACCTGGAAGCAATACGAAAAGGTATTCAACTACACAAAGTAGAAGAGCAGTGTGAACAGGAAGCTAAACATGAACACATTGAAAATGATGTTGCCACCATCCTGTCTCGCCGTATTGCTGTGGAATATAGTGATTCAGAAGATGATTCAGAATTTGATGAAGTAGATCGGTTGGAATAAGAAAAATGCATTGATAAATATTACAAAACTGAATGCAAATGTCCTTTGTGGTGCTTGTTCTTTGAAAATGTTTGGTCATTCTAGTGTTTTGCTTTCTATTCCTTATAATAAATAATCCTTTTCCTCCATAATTTTTGATTTTGAAGAAAAGTATAAGCATACATTTCAAACTAAATGTTTTACAGTGGTTTATATTTTTTTTCCCTGAAAAGACATAATTCGGTCCAACAAACCACTAAGTATTAAGCATGGACAGCTGTTGTTAGAGTAGCAGATTCACTTTTTTGATATATCTTAATTGTGCACTTTGTGAATTTTAATTTAAAGAAAGCAAATGAGATTGAAATCTTGAGGGCAGCTGTAATATTAATGAGCCTTATTCCACTTCCTGATGTTTTAAAAGAAGAAACACTGCCTTGATATATGAATATACTCAGAAAGTACATTTAGCTTGTAGTGTTGAATTCTCTTAAAGGAATGCTTAAATTTTTTTTAAAGAGACAGTGAAAGAGAGAGAAAGAGAGAGAGAGAGAATTTTTTTTAGTTTTTTTCAGTGGACACAACATCTTTGTTTGTATGTGGTGCTGAGGCAAGCACGCTACCACTTGAGCCACATCCCCAGTCCCAAATTTTTTATTATTATTTTATTGTTTTAAATACTTGCCTTATTTGAATGTTTAGCAGTACTCCTTTCCCACTTATATATTGTGTGATACAATTTTGCTTGCCTATAGGAGTTTAAAAATTTTCCATGTGAAATCCTCTGAATTAAACATACATGTAACTTACATAATTGTAAGCAATAACAGTCTGATTTAATAAATGGTTCATTTTAAAGGTTAAAAAAAGAAAACACATTAAGTTAAGTCAGGTGATACTTTGCACTCCCTTTATTTCAATAAAAATCAAAACTACTTTGCATGGAGCTTTATATATACAAACTCAATCTTCATGTAATGTAAGTATCATTATCCCCATTTTAAATCAATAAAAAAGTTGTTTTCTTTTGTGTTCCTTTCTACAATCCATTGAAAGTTTCAAATAAAAAGGGCATTTACTTATAAAATGTGCTCCCTAGGGAATAGGAAGTGTATAAAAAAAAACAATGAACCCATTTTTTTAACTGAAAACATAATCTAAGAATTAAGGTCATGATCCCAGAGAAAAGAATTCTGGATTTAAGTAAATACCAAAGAACATGTTAGATATTTCTAATACACCACAAATTCAGATTTTCCCAAACTCTCACTCACATATAAAGTGACTCTGGGTGATAGATGAGAAGTAGCTGTTCACCTAAACTGCCCCAGAACAGTTTCCAAAACAGTTTCCAGCATGAAAGTCATGAGTTATTCTTTCCTCCAACAAGACAATACTGGCATTCAACAGTTCAAAAAAGAAAAAAAGGAGGACTCAGGATGAGACAAAACTGGGCACCTTCCCTAAGTTTTGAGTGCCCTACTGCATCACCTCAAGCTACCCTTCAAGAAAAGAGCATCTCATGCACGTGGCCTTTGGTGCCAGCTAACCTAATCCAGACCTATGCTCAGCAGTGTCAGCCTGAGTAAAACCAAGTCTCCTCTAATCTTTCATTTCTTCACCAACACAACAGAGGTGCCAATAACAACATCATCAAGATCATTATGCAGACGGAATGAAACTGCTCATCTGAAAGCTGTCCACCCAGTGGAGGCCAAATAAATTTTCAATAAATATTCCCAGCCAGAGGCCCCTCCCAGGCTTATTAAGAAGGCTGTTGAGAACCTGGTGTCCTTTTTAAACCTATTTCCTTATCCATCTTACTTGATTTCATCTGGTAAAACAAGATAAGGAGATTAAAAATCTCTCTAGGATAATTTATCCCAGTCATTCTTTTGATTTTATGTATATGGAAACTGAATCTCAGAAAAACCAAGTGATTTGGCTCAAAGTCTTTGGCAGAACAGGGTCTAGAATCCAGTTCCCACATCACTGCTCTTTTTTTCAGTTTATGTTGCCTCTCCAGTAGCTCTGACCTCTGAAGGATCTCAACTTCTATAGAAAATGGAATTCCTACCTTAATAAATATCTTTGAACATTGGTGTATTAGATTCCTATGACTTCTGTACCAAATTCCTATTAGCGTGGTGACTTAGAGCAATTTACTCTCTCACAATTCTGAGGCCAGAAGTCTCAAATCACTTTCACTCAGATGAAATCAATGTGCAGAGGAGTAGTCATTCTAGGAGAAAATCCTTTTCCTTTCTCTCTCTAGTTTCTGGGAATCACTTGTATTCTTTAGTGTATGGTCCCTTCCTCCATCTTTTTTTTTTCCTTTTGGAGGTGTTAGGGATCTAATCCAGAGTCTCAAGCACCTTGGGTAAGTGCTCTACCATGGAACTACATCCCCAGCCCCAATTCTGTCTCAAAAGTTAGCAGTGTTATATTTTCTCTCTGACTGTGGAAACAGAAGCAGAAGGAATCTGCTTCTGTCAGGTGGCCTCTGTCTCCTGTATCAAATCTCCCTCTGCCTCCTTATAAGGACATTTGTGATTGCATTTAATGCTCACCTATTGATCAGGATAATGTATACACATCAAGATCCTGAACTTAATCATATCTACAAAGTCTCTTCTGCCGTATAAAGTAACATTCATAGGCTTCAGAGATTAGGACCTAGCCATATTATTCCACCTACCATACATGGCAACTGTTTTAGTCTGCTTTGTCAACGCTGTGAACAAAAGACCTGACAAGAACAATGTAGAGGAGGAAAAGTTTATTTTAGCTCATGGTTCCAGAGTTTTAGTCCATGGTTGGTTGACTCCATATCTCTGGGCCCCAGGTGATGTAGAACATCATGGCGGAGAAAAACAGCTCAGAACATGACAACCAGAAGCAGAGAGCTCTGCTCACCAGGGGCAAAATAAATACCCCAAAGGGGTATATACCTCAATGTCCACCTTCTCTAGCCATACTGTACCTGCCCACAGTTACCATTTAATTAATTTACATCAATGGACTATTTCACTGATTAGGTTACACCTGTCATAATCTAATTATTTCACCTCTGAAAATTCCTGCGTTGTCTCACACATGAGATTTGCGGGGACACTTCATATCTAAACCATAACAGCAACTAATATGATGAGATGGACAAGACTGTTTTTCAAAAGTGTGACCTACATGACTTCAAATACAAACTAAAAAATGAGGTTAAGGCCTGTGGCAAAGCAGAACACCATGGTAGGGAACTCTTGGTGCCTGAGAAGCAAAAGAGAAAGAGAGAGATCAGTTTTATAATTAAGCCCCACCCCAAAACCCATTAAAATGTGAACCCATAAATTAATTAATCCACTCATGAAGTCAGAGCCCTTGTGATCCCATCACTCCCAAAAGGACCTAGACTGAACAGTTTTGCAATGGGGATAAAGCCTCAATACATGAGCTTTTGGGGAGACATTTAACATCCAAATCATAACAAATAGGCTTTGAAATCTGTTGCCCAGTAGAGTGGTTATAGTCAATAAGAATTTATTCTATATTGCAAAACAAGAGAGTGAATTTCAAAGTTCTCACCATAAAAAAATGGCAGGTAAGCAAAATGAGGGAGGTTTGCGGGGACACTTCATATCTAAACCATAACAGCAACTAATTTAATGAGATGGACAAGACTGTTTTTCAAAATTGTGACCTACATGAGGTTAATTAGCTTGATTTAATCACTCCACATTGTGCACAGATGTCAGAATGTCATATTACACCCCTTATATCATTTGATATAATTATGATTTTTTCAATCAAAAATAATATTAATAATGGAAAGATACTTCAGCTAAAAGTAGGTTCAATAACAAAGTGGGTGTGGTAAAATATTCCAAATTATTGAACAAGGGTGATGGAATGAGGAGGAAGTTTCATAATACTATCATCCTTTTTGTGTATATTTGAGACCTTTCAAGAGAAAATTAAAATATAAGGTTGTCACTTCAGAATACAAATTGCCTGTCCCAATCTCTGGCTCTCAATATCTGAACGGCTTCCCTACAGGGAAGGTAAGCAAACAGCTAATGAGGAAGCCTGCTCACCAGAAGCAAAGACTGAAGCAGCAGTGAAGGTGAGCCCCTGTGTCTGGTGCCAGTTTAGTAAACAATGAAAAAGAAATCTCAGGGTTCTGACAGCAGAACTCCATAGGAACTGTGCTTCAGCGTTGGTTATATCTTTGTTTTGGAAACTCCTTTCTCCCTGTTTCTTCATGAGGTTAAAATAACCATTATAAGTTTGCTTTCCCCAGTGAGTTTGGAGTATGAAGGGAAGAAGGGGAGAGAAAAATCATCAGTCCATCCCACCTGCTTCTAAAACCTTTTCCACCATGCTGCCAGGCAAGCCTTCTGGCAAACCAATATGGTCCTGTCTTCAGTAGCTTTCCAATCTAGGCCAAATAATGTCCATACATCTTGCCTAGACACACAAGACCCTTCATTAACTGGCCTCTCCCAAATGTGAGTTTCAGTTAACTCAAAGAAGAAAATTAGGCTTCCAGGAAATAGATGATAAAGAGATGTGTGTCTAAAATGCAGTCCAATAAAGAATTATATAACAAACAAGAAGTGGAAGTTAGGGTAGCAATAAAATTTAGTGCTGAGTCTTTAACAAACCCAGAATCATTTCAAGGAGCTCCCTAGCATTTAGTTGTGAATTCTAACTCTGATTTAAAGGGCAATTGGTTGTTATGGTAATTGGCATGGCATTAAAAATATTATCTAGGTTCTTTGGAAATCCTCCCTTTCTAAACCAAATGACTGTGGTCTGTAGTTTTTCAACAGGATATAATGTTCTGAAACTGCAAGTGCCCTGGAAACCAGGACACATGAGTACTATAGCAAATACTTTATTTTCATCACTGAAATAAAAATCATACACATAGTCATTTTCAAATCAAAAAAGAAGAGGCTCCAAATTGCAAAATTAGATCCCCTTGCTTCTAAAAATTGCCGACTACTTACCCCTACCCACCATCAACTCACCAACTCTCAACAGGCTATTATCTCCTATTCTTGAAATAGTAATTGGATTTTGGAGTTAAAAGTATATGCAGAAGATAGCCTCTTCAACAAATGGTGCTGAGAGAACTGGAAATCCATATGCAGCAA